ATCCTGGGGCCCTACGTGGAGGATCTGTCCAAACTGGCTGTGACTGGATTCTCGGACATCCGGGACTTGATGGACGCCGGCAACAAAGCTCGGTCAGTTTTCTTCCAGATAATTTCAGAGGTCGAAGTTTTAAAGAAAGTGCAAAAGGTTGCAGATGTCTGAGGAAGTTTGAAAAACATAAACGGTTTCCTACTGGTAACCAACCCCATAATACAGCAGCTCTGTAGACTTGTTGTCTATCTTTTGAGCCAAGATCAGATTGATACCCAATCAGTCCATCACTGGTGATATGTTAATCACCCATTAGCCGATGTTTCTTATTCTAGTTAGGCCTGGTTAAAACATGCAGATTTGTTATAAACATATATATTTTTTATTATTGTAAAGAATGAATTGCAGCAACATCAAAATAATCAAGTTCATTTCTGATTGCAGGACGGTCGCAGCTACAAACATGAATGAGACGTCATCCAGGTCCCACGCCGTCTTCACCATCGTCTTCACCCAAAAACGACGAGATCAGATGACCAGCCTGGACACTGAGAAAGTGTGTCTGCTTCTCTATTTTGTCCCCGCAGGGCATTTTCTTCCAAATGTCAGGTTTTTATTTTGATTCTTGAACTTTTCTCCTCAGGTCAGTAAGATCAGTCTGGTCGACCTGGCTGGAAGTGAACGAGCAGACTCCTCTGGGGCAAAGGGCACGCGGCTCAAGGTTGGAGATAATGTGGCGCAATCACATTATGTATCTACTCATGTGCTGCTCATTTTCATGCATCCACTGCCAGATTCATCATGTATTCACTGTATGTTTGCATGCAGGAAGGAGCAAACATCAACAAATCTCTGACCACATTAGGAAAAGTGATTTCAGCTTTGGCTGAAATGGTAATTCAACACCGTCCATATTTACAAGTCAAATAATATCAGATGTGTGCAGTGTGGGAGATGATTGCTGACTGCTTCTTGTCTCTGATCTGCAGCAGAGCAGTAAAAAGAGGAAAAGTGATTTTATTCCCTACAGAGACTCTGTTCTCACCTGGCTACTGAAGGAAAACCTGGGTAAGTAGAGCATTGGTAGGTCCAGTGTTAAAGGAGTATTCACAATGTCAGATTGAGCACAAAGAACAGTAGAGTCATTTAAGGCTAACAGCCATTAGTAATATTGTCATTAATATTGTACTAGGACTAACGGCATGTTTCTTTGACCAAACTATTAATAAGACTTGTTGTATCAGGACTTATAGTACATCTTAACCTATTCAAACTAATAGTACACCTTAACCTGTCAGGGCTAATAGTACACCTTAACCTGTCA